TCCCCGACATTCTGATCAGAACGCACCTTGGGAGAGGTTTGGGGAGTAGCGGTGTCGGTGCCTTTTTGTTCTCCCCACATCCTGCTACCTCGCCCCTCCTCTTCACGCCCTTTCAGCAACTCTTCGTCCTCCTCCCTCCTCTCTTCTACTAGATCACTCCCGCGCTACACCCTGCGTTCGTGGCGCCGGGCACGGGCACCACGAACCAGACGGCCCTCTCAACCGCGCCACGCGAAGTCGATGCCACTCGTGTGAGCAGATATGGGACACCCAACGCAATGCCCGTGCCACGTACCGCAGACGGCTACTTCGAGGGTCACCGAGGCAGCGAGAGCTACACCTGCGGGCCCTCGAGCGGGCGCGCCACTGCCTGCGCGACGCGGACGCTCTCCCGGAGGAGCTCCTCGCGCCGCTTGCGAGCGTCTTCCGTTCAGACCCGCGCGTAGGCCCACACGAAGGTCCCAGCGAGGCGCTCTCACCAGCACACAGCACCACCGACAGCGAGCTCTTCGGCCTCGACGATCTGGACGACGCACTCGTGAGCTCACCTGACCTTTCGGAGCTCTCGGGCCTCCCCCTCACTCTACCCGTCGACGCCCCTCCAGCACCACCTGCTGACGACGCCCCTTCGCACTCTGTCGGCTCTCTGGCCAGCGCTACGCCGGGGAGCCACGACATCACAGAGGCCTGACCGTCGAGCCAGGGCTTCCCCGCCTGTGGACTGGCGCCTGTGGAGGGCGAGTGTGCAGGACCGGCGTGCCTGGGCTCCCCGGCCGCTGGAAGCGCCTCTCCCCCTTCCTGCGAAATTGCGGCGTCGGCGATCTCCTCCCTCCTTCCGGAGGGCACTTCTCTTGGTGCCCGTGCAGATGATTTTTAGAAGTACTCTGCTAGCTGCAGCGCCACCCACACGTGACAGCCAGACGGTTCAACACGAGTGCAATCCAACAAAAATCCAGAGGGTACGCTCCAAGGTGCGGTGCCGTGCATCCCTCCCGCTGGTGTGTTGCTAGAAGTACCCCTGGCCCAAGGTGCCCCCAGGATTCTCGGGGTGGCCCAGACGGCCTCCAGAGCACCCCTTGCGAGGCCCAGAGGGCCCCAGGGGCCCCAAAATGGAGAGAAAAGCTGGGGGCACCTTGGGCCAGGGGCACTTCTAGCAACACCCGCTGGTGGCGCGGTGCTCAGCATCCCGCCGACGGACAGCACTCTGCCAGCGCTACGGCGCCGGCGCTGCGAGAGCACGCCTTCCGCAAACCCCTTGTGAGGCTCTCCAGAGTTCAACACCCGAGCGGCCGCCCCCGCTGGCGCGCCCGCAGCCGTATAGTCCCGCCGCGGACCATGGGCTCCTTGGTTCGTGGTCTCCCTCGTCTTGTCTGCCCCCCTGTGACCGCTGCACCAACTTCGGCTCTTAGGTTGGACGAGCCGTAGCTTCAAGCTCGCCTCTCTTCCCCCTCCTCCTCCACCTCCTCCTCCCTTTCCTCCTCCTCCTCCTCGTCCTCCTCCTCGTCCTCCTCCTCCTCCTCGTCCTCCGCTTCATCCCTCCTCTTCCTCATCGTCCTGCTACTGATCCGCCTCTTCCTCCTCCTCTCCCCCTCCTCCTCCTCCTCCTCGTCCTCCTCCTCCTCCTCCTCCTTGTCCTCCTCCTCCTCCTCCTCCTCCTCCTCGTCCTCTGCTCCATCCCTCCTCTTCCTCATCGTCCTGCTGTTGATCCCCCTCTTCCTCCACAATTACACAATATGAATACTACTCTCCCACTTCCCCTGATGGCGTCCGGAAGATGTTCGGCACCCCCCCGCGTACTGTTTTTTACACAGGATTCCCCGGAGTTGGGTTTTCGCTTGTGTTTTTTTCTAAAATGCTGCTCTCGCTGAGGCGCCGGCCTCATTTCTGCTCCCGAATCGTTCCGAATCGTGCTCCCGCTGCAGCGTGGGCCTCATTTTCGGATCGGTGTTTTGCCTCCGTCGTTCAGGATGGCGTTCTCGCCCCAGCGCGGGCCTCTTTCTCGCGCGCCCATCCGCCCGCCACCACCGCGCCGCACCACGCCCCGCCCCGCCGCACGCACACCCACCGCCACTTCCACCCACCAACGCACGCACGCACGCACGCGCACCACCACCGCGCACCGCCACCACCACCGCACTACCCCACCCACCACCACCACGCTACACCGCGTCACACCACATCACACGCGCGCACACACACACATACACGAACGCACACACACACACACACACACACACACACACACACACACACACACACACACACACACACACACACACACACACGCACACACACACACACACACACACCACCACCGCCACCACCACCACCACCGCCATCACGCACGTACGCACCTGGCCCACCACCAAACCACCAAGACGCCACACCACGTCACACCACAGCACACGCGCACACACGCACGCACACACACATACACACCACCACCACCACAACAACCACAACCACGCACACACGCACGCACGCACGCGCACCACCACCCACTACGCACACGCGCGCGGAGCCACAGGTCCGCTACGACACGCGTCCGCGGATAGAGAAAATCAGCGCCATGGTAAGGGATGGGAGGGAGGGGTAGGATGTCAGATGTTGACGCGAGCGCACCTAACTTGCCCCTCCCCCCTCCACAATTACACAATATGAAATACTACTCTCCCACTTCCCCTGATGGCGTCCGGAAGATGTTCGGCACCCCCCCGCGTACTGTTTTTTTACACACAGGATTCCCCGGAGTTGGGTTTTCGCTTGTGTTTTTTTCTAAAATGCTGCTCTCGCTGAGGCGCTGGCCTAATTTTCGGGCTCCCGCTCCTTCCGAATCGTGTTCCCGCTGCAGCGCTGGCCTCATTTCCGCGCTCCCGCTCGTTCCGAATCGTGCTCCCGCTGCAGCGCTGGCCCAATTTCTGCGCCTCTCGTTGTTCCAAAACGTGCTCCCGCTGCAGCGCCGACGTTTTCGATCCTTTTTAAGAAGCCCCAAATCTAGAAAATGATCCCCGGCAAAAACATTGGAGGTGATTACACATCCGGTGTCGATTCGTTGATTTTTGGGGCCGCAGAAAGCCCCCCCCCCTTTTGGGCGGCGTCCTTTTCCGCACAGGATTCCCGGGAGGTTTGGGCAGCTGGCGCGGGTGCCGCTCCGGCGCGGTCGCGTCGTCGTCGTCGTCGTCGTCTTCGTCGCCGGTCGTCCTCATCGTCGTCGTCGTCGTCGTCGCCGCCGTCGTCGTCGTCGTCGTGGGTCGTCGTCGTCGTCGTCTTCGTCGTCGTCGTCTTCGTTTTCATCGCGCCGTCGTCCTCCTCCTTTCCCTCTTAGGTAACAGGGTCAGATGCGAAGCCCGATTCGGTGAGAGGACAATGAAGTAGCTCAATGGGAAGGGATGGGAGGGAGGGGTAGGATGTCAGATGTTGACGCGAGCGCACCTAGCTTGTCCTCCCCCCCTCCTCCTCCTCCTCCTCCTCCTTCTCCTCCTCCTCCTCCTTCTCCTCCTCCTCCTCCTCGCCCTTCTCTTCGTCCTCGTCCTCGCCCTCGCCATCCTCGTCGTCCTCCTCCTCGTCCTCGTCTTTCTTTTCCTCCCTCTCTTCCTCTTCGAGGGATTTCTAGAAAAATCCCGAAGGCTGTCTCGTCTTCGAGACTTCGGTCACTTGACATGTCGCTCTAGGCGGAAGATGGTGGACGCCGGAGGTCGTAAAGCGATGGCCGTTCTGCGCTGGCGGCTGCCTGGCGGACGCTGGCGGAGCCGAAGCGATTTCTATATACGCCACGACCGTCCGTAAACTCGGCACTGGGTTCCAACCCCGATTCCCTCCCCAGCCAGCGGGGTGGAACCCGCTGCGCGCGGGGTGGAACGCGTGCGACCTGCGCCGCGACTCTTCCGCAGCGGGTTCCACTCCCGAGGGAGGGGACGCATGGGGAGGGAGGGGAGGGAGGGGGAGGGAGGGGAGGGAGGAGAGGGATGGGGAGTGAGGGGAGGGATGGGGAGGGAGGGGAGGGAAGGGAGGGGGGGGGGCAGGGGAGGGAGAGAGGGAGGCTAGTTGCTTTTCTGGGCACCGGGGCGCGATCCCAGGGATGCGCGATCCCATTGCTGCCTTCCGCGCGGGGCATCCACCGCGCAGAGCCGCCCTGTACTCCCCTGGAGAGCCGCGGCTGGGGAGGCCAGGCCGCGAGAGGCTTCCTGGCTGCGGACAGGCCTCCCGCCCAGGAGCCACAGGGCAGGAGCAGCGGCCCCCCTCTCTTCGGGTGTGGCTGGAGAAGTTCTCCTGGCCCAAGGCGCCCCCAGGATCTCCAAGGAGGCCCCCCTCTCGAAGAAGAGTAGACGCCATAATTTAAACTGTTGGCGCTCAGCGCGGGTTTCTTGCACGGGCGCCCCGGACCCCCCGACGGCGCCTCCGGCGCCGCCTCTGGCGCGCTCCGCGCGCCAGGGAGGGGGGATCCAGCGCAGATCCACGAAATCTGGGCGGAGCGCCACAAGTGTATGTGTTTATGTAATGTTGCACTCTTTTACCCACGGCCTCCAGAGCACCCCATCACGAGGCCCAGAGGGCCCCAGGGGCTCGGGGGCCAGGGGCACCTTTAGCAGCAGCAGCCCCCGACCTCTCTCTCCGCCGAGGCCGGGCCCCTCTGCTCTCCCGGCCCCCATTTCCTTCCTCTCGGGTGCGGCCAGGAGGGGGGTGACGACGCGGGGGGGGGGGCATCATGGCCAGAGCCATGATATCTCCCCAGATCTCCTCCTTTCTTGCAATGCGTCCCCTGGTCCCCCCTCGCCCGCGCAGATGCCTCGGGCCATGTTTTGGGAGCCCCCCCCTTTTTGGACGCTCTCCTCCTGGATGCCCCCGGCATCTCCCCGAAGCATTGCCCTGATCTTCTGAGCGCCCAGCGACGCGCAATGGCTCCGATCATTTTGCGATGCTGTCCGCTGCTGGCGCGTGCGTCTTCGTTCGCCGGCTCAGTGCGACGTATCGGTTCTGGTGGGAATACAGTGGGGCGGCAGGGACAAGAAGAAGAGCAAGGACTCCGATAAGGAGAAGGAGAAGGAGAAGGACAAAGACCGCGGCCGTGAGAAGGACAAGGGGAAGGATAAGGAGAAGGCGAAGGACAAGGACCGTCGGCGTGCTCTCTTCTTCATGCTGCGCCCCCGTGTTGTGTCCGATGCAGGCCATGCCATGTCGCTCCCAGTGGTCTGCGGCACGCCCGCCACCGTGCCAGCGCAGCGTCGACGTGCACGCAGGATGCCTCTGCCGAGCCGTCCCGAAGAGGCTTTGGCAGGAGCCGTGCTTCTACGAGGCGACGAGGCCCCCCAAGGGGCTCTCGGGACGCTGCTATTGGGCCGTGATGGTCCGCGAAGCTCTCCCCACGAATCGGGAGCATCGAAATGGGCATGGGAATAATAGGCACAAAGGCCAATTGCGTCTCCTTCTCAGTCTGAGCAGCCGCGGAGACGGGGTCCCTTCGAGGCAGAGAGCTGCCCGCCCCACAGCGGCCGCGGTCGGTCTGGGGCAGAAGCTGTGGTGGGGCATCGTGCCCCTGCGCTCGCAGACGGCCTCCTCCCTCCTCCTCCTCCTCCTCCCCCCTCCTCCTCCCCCTCCTCCTCCCCCTCCTCCCCCCCCTTCCTCCTCCGCCTCCCCCTCCTCCTTCTCCTCCTCCTCCTCCTCCTTCTCCCCCTCCTCCTCCTCTTTCTCTCGGCACCCGTGCTGGGCGTCCAGAGCGGAGGCTCGGCCACCACCCGCGAGGCGGCGGTCCCGTCGGGGCCTCGGGGCAGTCCTGGCGGCAGTGCTCTGCTTCCTCCTCCCTCCTCCTTCTCCTCCTCCTCCTCCTCCTCCTCCTCCTCGTCCTCGTCCTCGTCCTCGTCTTCGTCCTCCTCCTCGTCCTCCTCCTCCTCCTCCTCCTCCTCCTCCTCCTCCTCCCTCCCTCCTCCCTCCTCCTCTCTCCTCCCTCCTCCCTCCGGCCGTTTTCTGGGAGGCCGTCGGGAAGTCTTTTTGTATGGGCCTGCTTTGAGCCGCTGGGGCTATCCTGGGGAGCTTCTCGGGGCCTCCTGTGGCGGTCTCGGGGCCACGTGAGGTTTTCCAGAGGCGGCGTGGTCCGAGTGTGGTCCGCGGCTCTCGGTGTTGCAGCGCTCTGGGCTCCCGGTGTCTTGCCGGAGGGCTTCTCTGGGACTTCTTGATTCCTTTGGGGGCCCTGTTGAGGGCATCTTGCAGCCTCTGAAGGTTTTTTGGCCGGCTGGTCTCGAGGCACCTTGCAGCCCCAAGACGGCGAAGATCCTCTTCGAGGGAAGTGTGGGTGGGGGGCCATCCCCCCCACTCCATTTCCCAAAAACAGTGCCCTGAAACGTACATTGACAAAGTAGGCGCGCGATCCTCGACACTTTTAAAGCCCGCGGGCGCCAGGTGGTCCGAGGCAGTCTCAGGCGCCGGTCAGCGAGCGATGGGGTGCACCAGGAACGGAGTCAGGCACAGAGGCGAAAAGGAACAGAGCGCGAGGGGGGAAGCGGGAGGATGCCGCTCAGACCATGCATGAATTCGGGCCTGTCCCTCTACAGGAGGAATATTCGAAAATAGACAGAATTAGTCTGGGTACGATGTTTCGATCACTTGTTTACCATTTTGGGATATCTGTTTGACTATTTTTTTTTCGCTCAGAATCCCACTCTGTAGGGGGAACATGCCTGACCTGAACCATGCAAGCCGGCGCGGGAAACCTGAGGAAGGCAAAGTAGGCGCGATCCTCGGTGCAGGCACGCACATGATTCAAGGGGGTTGGGGCGGCTGCCCCCCCCGGAAGCCAGAGGAGCCCCGCCGGACACGTACCGGCACGCTGGTGGGTACCACCAGGGTGGGTCGTTCCAAAGAGGGCCTTGCCCACGAGGACCGAAGGAGTTGGCACCTCTTCCTCGGGGGGAGCCGGCGGAGGGTCGGCGGACGCTTGCAGGAGTAGAACGGTGGCGGTTCTGCCGGCGGAAGCTGCCGGAAGGCCGTCGGAAGGCGGCGGAAGTAAGCGATGGGCCCCCATCGACTACACGTAGTAGAGTGACCTTTCTCCAGAGTGACCTTGGGTGCTCGCCCAGTGGGGTTTCCCGATCGCTGAGCGCGAGGCGGCAGCAGCGGCTTGCGCGCCCGGGCTTGGCCCCCCCGCGTCCCCCGATTAAGTCGTAGCCGTTCGCGGAAGGCGGCGGAAGTAAAAGAGGCGCCCCCAAGAGACGACAATTTTAGGTTCCGGCTTTCCGGAACCCGCCACGTGGCGCGGCCGTCCTGGGCCCTTCTACGGTTAGGTACGCCGGGCTTCCGCATGCGCATCCAGCGTATGGCCTCCAGATAGTGTTTCCAGTTTCCTGGCACGTGCACGCGCCAATGCGCAATGCGCGTGCCGATGCCCTCGTGCCAACAAGAGGCGCACCCCCATCTGGTCTGTTGGAATTGGTGCTCCTGCCATTCACGGCACCAAGAGCGGCGATCATCGAAAAAGGCTGTCCCTTACGAGAGAGAGAGAGAGAGAGCAGGCCCGAGGTCCACATGGGCCTCTTCGGTCGGCGCTGGACCCACCTTTTGGTAGGTGGATCTCTCAAGCTCTCCGCCGCCCCTGGCGGTCTGCGTTGCGAGCAGGAGCACAGCACTGCACACCGCCAGAGGCGGCGGAGAGCTTGAGAGATTCACCTACCCAAACTGGCGGCGCTTTCAACGCCTCTACCATTGTGGAATGTGGAGGATGACCCATGGAGAGGGAGCATGTTGCCTCCCCCCAAATGTCTAAAACATGTGTTAAACTTGTGTTTAAACATGTAAAAAACATGTTTAAACCACGTTTGGAACATGCTCCGACATTTAAAACACAATTCTAATTTCAATGATAGGACTGTTAGGGTGTCCATTGTCGTGGTATCCACAACTCTACTAGCGCGCTTCTGCGCGCTCCGCGCGCGGGGGGAGGGCGGGGCTCAGCGCCAACCCAAGAAGTCCCGGCGGGCCTGCGAGAGCTTACAGTTCGGGTGTTGCTACAAGTGCCCCTAGCCCGAGGTGCCCCCAGGATTCTCGGGGTGGCCCAGGCGGCCTCCAGGGCACCCCTCACGAGGCCCAGAGGACCCCGGGGGCTCCAAAATGGCGCGAGAAGCTGGGGGCACCTTGGGCCAGGGGCTTTTCTAGCAACACCCGAACAGTCCAGGCGCGGAAGTAGAGGCCATTCTGGGTTCATGGAGGGGCTCTGACGTCTGGGTTGTTCCCTAGATCTGGGTCGGGGATCCTCGTCGTGACCACGGCCCCCTCGTTGCCTATACCTGGCGTCTCTCCTGGCAGCGCGTCGACTGCATGCCTGTGCGGTTTCTTCTTCTTCTTCTTCTTCTACTTCTTCTACTTCTTTCTTCTTCTTCTTCTTTCTTCTTCTTCTTCTTCTTCTTCTTCTTCTTCTTCTACTAAGCGGCAGGCGAGACGAACACGCCGTGCTCTCAGGAGGCCGAGCTCCCGAGAAGGCGCATCCTGGCTCTCCCAGGCGCCGCTCCACGCAGCCGCGCGGAGGCGGTACGTATCCTGTACAACAAGGAGGCCCCGGCGGGGCCGTGGCGCCTTGCAGCCGAGAGACGCTGCAAGCAGTACCGCTCTGGGTTCAAAAGGGGCTCGCTGCTCCTGGGGTCCTTCGGTGTCTGCTCCTCGCGCGCTCCTCGTCCCCGCCGGCGCCTGTGGCGGCCCCACAAAAAAAGGGCCCCGCTCCGGATGTATATGGCGTTCCGTCCTGCAGCAGCCCCTCTGCACAAGGGAGGTCCTGGCGGGGCCGTGGCGCCTCCGCGCCTTCGCCCCCTCACCCCAGGCCCCCCCCCCCGCCTGGTGCAGCACAGCGAGGCTCTTGCAAGCCGTGGCGGGGCCGAGGGCGCATCCTGCACGGCTTCTCCTCGCCCTCGGGGCACGCCTCGGCCGCCCGGGCGCTGGCGCTCCCAGCTGGCAGGCCGGGCTATCAGTGCACCTCTGAGGCCCCCTCCTCCTCCTCCGCCTGCTCCTCCTCCTCCCCCTCCTGCTCCTCCTCCTCCTGCTCCTGCTCCTCCTTCTCCTCCTCCTCCTCCTGCTCCTCCTGCTCCTCCTCCTGCTCCTCCTCCTCCTGCTCCTCCTCCTCCTCCTCCTGCCTTGGGGTCGCGGGAGGCGTCGTGGCCTCCACCCCCCACGGGCACGAACAGAGATTCGCCGTGGGGGCGGCCGGCGCCAGCATTCTGCTTCGCCCCCGCGCCGGTCCCCAAACTTCGGACGATGACGACGATGGGCGAGGACACGAGCGCCGAGCGGGGGGGGGCACGAACGGCAAGGCAAGAGCCCGCCACAAGAGAACAAGCACAGACACCCTCCGGAGGATTGTTCCTGGGCCTCAGGGGAGGGTGGCGGCTTAGAAATCATAGGGGAACGAAGAATGACATAAACATAAGCCACCCCGGTCAGAACGCAGAATCATAGGGGAACGAAGAATCCTGGTCCGAACGCACCCTGGGAGAGGTCAGGGTAGTAGCGGTATGGGTACGTTTTGGCTTCCTCACTTCCCTCGCCGATCAGCGGCTCAGGCAACTCGATGGTAGGCGGGGGTAGTGTTAGCATAGGGGAACGAAACATGAGATGAACATAAAAACTTAGAGGTCCCCGCGGACCTCCGAGTTGTTATGTTTATGTCATTCTTCGTTCCCCCTAATCACCACTGGGGCCAGCGACCTCATGTACACCGCCACCCTCCCGGAAGGTGCACACAAAGATCGTCGGAGGGCGTCTGTATATGCTGTCGTGGCGTATGCAGGCCCAGAGATCCGACGTCGTGATTTTTTCAAAACGGGGTCCCTGGAAGTCTCGACCCATTCCCCAGGACTGTTTTTTCATCCTGAGTCGTTTTTTGACGGTCCTGGGGCCCGGCGAGGGCCGCTGGAGGCCGAACATCGAGAAAACCTACGTACTGTTTTGTTGTCAATGCGTTGGAGGTCTGGGGGGGAGAGGAAGGTGGCGGACTCGACTCTTCGTTGTCGTCGGGGTGCCGCGCTCAGCGCCTGCGGGGGGGGGGGGGGGGGGCAGAGGCGCACCGACGTCGTCCCGGCCTGGGGCCCTGGACGGGGCCCACGAGCCTTCGGTGCTTCCTGCCCTCGCGGGTTCCCGAGCGCGGCGGGCGCCGAACGTCGTTCCTCCCCCTCGCCTTCGTTCGCCTTCTCCTCCCCCTGCTCCCCTCGGCTCGGCGGCGAGCGAGGAGGGGGGAGTGAGAAGGAGGAGGCCTTCTCGGGAGACTCGGAAGGCCTCTCGGGCGTCTAAGCCTGCCCTCCCAAGACACCAAAATCTGCGCAGAAGGCGCGAGGGCTTCTGAGAAGTCCCGCCGCCTTCTGATAAGACCTCCTTCTCACTTCCCCCCTCGCTCGCCGCCGATCTGTTTTCGTTCTCATTGTATCGTCCGTTCCAACTGTCGGCGGGCAGCCGACATGTCGCGGTCTGGCGTACGGTAGGTTCGCGTCGTGTCGACCGGCGGCGACCCCAGCGCGGGCGTTCAAGGTTGAACGCCGCCGGCGACCCAGAATCGATCGATGTTGAACGATCGGACGTTGCGGTGAGGGCCGATCGTTCAAGGTTGAACGATCCAGCGCGGTGTCAAAAACCAACGCTGGGGTCGGCACGACACGAACCTGCCGTAGACGGATTGGCTTGCAGGCTGCGTCAGATAATCATTCAGCTTTCTTGGCACAACGTCGTTCAATAGCACCGCCGCGTGGGACCTGACGAATACCGACCAGAGGATGTGCTGACCCTGCTTGGCTGCGATGCGTCGCGGGAAGGGGAGGAAGCAACAAGTCTCTTCCCCTCGCTCGCATCCCTCGCGGTACACCTCGCTGGCGCGTTGCCTCTCAGCTCGCCAGGGGAAGTCCTAGGCCTCCCAGATGGGGTCAGAGCAGACCAGGTCGGAGGATCGCGCCGCATCGCCGATGCATCGCCAATACTGCTGCATGTGGAGTCCAATTTTCTTCACCCCGACGTCGCCGATGCATACCGACGTTGACGATACATCGCCGATGCATCGCCGATGCATCGGCTATGCATCGGCTATGCGGCGCGATCATCCGACCCCACCTATTCGGACCCCATCTGGATGAGGCCTCTAGACTGAACGAGAAGCCAGCCTGTCAGCAGGTTCTCCACAGAAACTTCTTTTCCCGCGGTCGCCCCAGGTGCCCCGAGGAGCGCTGGGTCACCTTGGGGGGTCTGGGGATCAAGGAACAGCTCCCCCCGATATGTCTGTTGCAAGATTTCTTGTCGGAAGTGTCCGACGTACCGGGAAAGGAGGGAGGAAAGCGGAGGAAGGATGAGGAGGGAGGGAAAAGAAGTGAGGAGGGAGGGAGGGAGGAGGGGGAAGGAGAGAGGGAGGAGGAGGAGGAGGAGGAGGAGCAGGAGGAGGAGGAGGAGGAGGAGGAGGAGGAGGAGGAGGAGGTGTATGGAGCCTTCACCCTGCCAAATGTCGATTCGCGGGCGGCCTTTTCACTTTTGTGTTTTCTCGCGATGGCGTTTTGCGGCCCTTCTTTTTGTTGCGGGCAGGCGCCCAGGGATCTTTGTCAAAGTCCCGGGTCGTTTCCACCAGAGGGTCTCTGCAGCAGGGATCTTTGTGTCCACCCCCGAGAGAGTAAGTGTCCTGGGTTTCTTCATAGGCGTGGGGGCTCCCCCCCGATGGGGGTCAACCTCGCCTCGTTCTCGCGCCGCGACGGGGGTCGGAGCGCCTTCGGCGCGCGGTGGCCGCCCCTGACGAGGGGTCGATGTGGGGCTGTCGGCGGGGGTGACGCCCCCCCCCGACGCTCGTTAAGAGACTCGGAGTAGGTGTCCCAATCGTGGACGCTCGTCTCTCGCGGACGCAGCCAGCGCGTGCGACACGGGACAGCACCTCACTCGAATAGGCGCCGGCGAGCTCTAGATTTTTCCCGGTGTTCGGCCGCGCCTGCCCCGGGCACGCGTCCGAGACCCTTGGGAGGTTGGCTTCGGGCCCCGAGGACAACAGAAGACGCGTCATGATGAAAAGCCGGCCCCAGGGGAGGGGTTGAAAGGTTCAGGGGCCAGCGTCGAGGAAGCTCACCGCCCACCAAGCCACCCCAAGCCAACCCGAAGGCCCCGATTTGCCTTCGATTTCAATTGCGAACATAGGAAAAACACATGAAACCCGCCCCCCCCAAACCCGAAATTCGGGTCTTCGGGTTGGGGTGGGGTGGCTTGGCAGGTCGTCAGAAGCGCAAACACGGATGAAGGCGAGATGGACCGCCCTTTTCCCGGACAGAAGCGGCGAGAGTCCGCCGCCAGATTGTGCGGCATGGGCCTCATGTGGCGGTGGGTATAATTTTCCCGATCCGTCGGTCTGGTGCCACTGGCGCCCTCGCGCCAGATTTGCAGGAGGAACATTCAAAAATAGTATCAAAAAAAGTCGGGACGAATTTCCTACTGTTTTGAACTACTTTTACATATATTTCTGCTATTTTTCATTTTCAAATCCGCTTGTAAGAGGACATGCCCGACCTAACGCCAGATCCGCGGACTCCGAATGCAGACTAGCGTGCGCCCGACAGTCTCTTGAAATATGCCTCGCCGCCGGGTGTCCGATGCGCTCCGCCGCCATGCCCAGCAGGGTCGCCGCCGCGACCCTACTACCGCCGTGCAGGAGCGAGACAGGAGCCGCAAGAAGGACGAAAGCAAGAAAGAGAAAGACAAAGACAGAGAGAGGTCGACCAGCATCACTTCGGCCGCGGTCTCTTGGTGACTCTAGTTTTGCCAGCACCTGCAAGGCCGCAGCAGATATGGCACCAGCTACGCACGTATTGGAGCCCTGGAGACGGGAACTTTCTAACGCGAGCTGTGCAGTCTGTGGTGAGGCTGACCCTCCTCCCCCTTCTCCCATTCGGCCTCCGCCGCCTTTTCTCATCTCCCTCTCCTCCTTCCCCTGCTCCTGCTGAGGCCATGCGGAAGCTGCCCTTGGATCTACCTTGCCTCCCTGGCCCAGGGAACTCAGACCTTTTCTACCACACGCCGACGTAGATCAACGGTCGCCGCGTCTGGGTACGTAGACCTGCTCCTCCCCATGCTCATCCTCCGCATTCCCGTTCTCGTCTTCCTACAGTCAACCCGCATAGTAAGGATGGGCAACCTTCCTAAGGGTACCCTTGCAGCCCTGCCCCCATCGGTCCATCCTTCGCCGCCTTCGCTGGCCGCGCCCTGCTCGAAAAGCTTCGGAGTGGGCGCCCAAGGCCCTTTGCATCCTTACCGCGCATCCTTACTGTACTGGTTGACTGTACTCCCCCTCCTCCCTGGCTCGGGCCGGGCGAAAGGGGGGGATTGGGAAAGGGGGGGTTACGAAATTTGCTGCATGCAGCTGGTTTCGGCCTCACCGAGGGGCCCATTCCTCGATACATAGCCGCCTCCGGCGCCGGGAGGCGCCGGGAAAACCAGCTACGGAGCTGATTCTCAACCCCCCCCTTTGCTATCCCCCCCTTTCGCCCGACCCGACTGGCCCTCCGGGCGGCGAAGCCCACAGCAAGGACCACGCTGGGCGTGTTTTTTCTGCGCCGCTCGGGCCACGGGGCCACGACGCAAACTGCCCGCGGTGCAGCCACGGTCCCGGGGCGGGTGCCCGGAGGCCGTCGGCCCGCTCCGTCCGGCTACGCTCATGTCGTGCGCGTCCCCCCACGTGGGGAATTTTGGGCGAAGCATGAAAAGTACCCCAAAGATGCCCCCCCAAAAGTTCCAAAATAGTAAAAAACGAGTCCCCCGGTTATTTGTTATCACACTTGTGTAGTCCTCCTAGTAGAAGGACAGGCCCGACTGGAGGCTACGCGCAGGGAGTGGCCCGTCGCTGGGGTGACTTTTTTCGCGCGGCGTCCGGGGGTCGCAGGGGAAGCACACGCCCAGGCACGCGGGCCATGCTTGCCGCGGCGCGCGCCACGATCGGCACGATCGGCACGCCGCGCGCAGCAGAAGCCGAGGCAGAGAGCCACGGTGCCGTGGGGTCTGGGCCTTCGTCGTCCTCGGTCCCTGCCTCAGTGTGCGGCTCCTGGGAGGTTTGATTCAGCATCGGCGCTAGTACGCCCGCGGTCGGACGCGGTCCACCTGGCATTGCCCCGCCGCAGGTGGCTGGATCCCCGGCGAATCGGGCTGAATCGGGCTTCATCCGGGGCTCAATCTGGGCCAATCCAGCTCAGTGGCCCCTTGACCGGGCCTGCGTACGATTAGCTTTTCCTCTTCGGTACGAAGACCTCCCAGGAGGTGCCCCCTGCAGAGGAGAAACATGGACCACCGCCACCAAGAACCCATCGGATGGAGACCGACCCCTTGGCTTGAGCCGGGCATGTCCCTCTACAGGGGGTATGATGTATATTTATTCAAAAACTTAGTCGGGGTATTTTCTATTTTTCGCCCAAGGTCCGCTTGTAGGGGGACATGCCCGAGCTAAACTTTGGCGGTGGCACGCCTGTGCGTCGTCCTGTGCTGGGTGATGCTCGGGCGTGCCACCGCCCTGGGGTCGGCCCCCGACATTTGGGTTCTCGGTGTCAGGGGCAACGATAGGAGGGGATAGGCATAGGGGGGGATGCACCGACCCCCACTCGCCCATTGATCGCCGATAGGGGCCCGATAGGCCCACCCCGCCCAGGAATGTGCGGATTCACTATCGGGGGCCTATCGCCGATCTATCGACGATGTATCGCCGATTCCAGGTCGATGTATCCCCCGTCCCAGTGGCCATTTGGGATCCGGTCTTGCCCTGCGGCCCGAGCAGGCCCTTCTCGATGATCCTCAAGGGTGCGTGTTAGCCCTATGCGTGTTTGCCCCGTTTGGTTCCCCAGTAGCACGCAGATTGCATCGTCCTTCGTTATGCCGCCTCCTGCGTCGTGTCGAGGGGCCTCTGTCGACAAACACGCGTCGGTGCTACGGTGGGGCGTGTTTTAAGGAATGTGCCGCCAGGAGGCTTCAGACCTTGGGGGGGGGTCCTTCTCTGATGAGGGCGGCGGTGATATGCACGGCTAGTCCACGATTGGAGTTCCTCTGGCCTCCAGACAATGGATTCTTATTTATCTAAGGTTTCTTATCCAATGCTCCAACCGTGTCAGCATACGCCGCCTCCTGCATCGTATCGAAGGGCCTCTGTGGACAAAGACACGTCGGTGCTAACACGCGTTCTGGGGACCATCGGCCTCTAGGCGGCGAGAGCGTGCCGGCGCGTCCCGCGCACGCAACGATGCGCGCGCGACGACCCGCGCGCGAGGCGACGCGCGAGGCGACGCGCGCCCGCAACGACGCGCGCGCGCGACGAGGCGCGCCCGCGACCAAGCGCGCGCGACGAGTCGCGCGCGCGACGAGACGCGCGCGCGACGAGTACCCCATCGGCCCACAGGCCGAGTGCCCCCCCCCCCCTGTGGGTGCGAGCTGCCGCGCGCGGGCGCTGTCGCCGACGCCCGCGGGCGGACGCACCAAGCACGAGGCGGGCCCCGCCTGCGGCGGGCCCCGCGCCCAACACCACGGCTGTCCTCCTCGAGCTCGAGTGCGTCCTCTCGCGACGTCGGCGTGCGGCCTCGGCGTCGTTGGCCCCTGAGCCGCACGCCCCATCCTCGTTTTCCTTCGGCCGCGTCCCTCCGACTCCCTCCTCCTGCATGGTGGCACAGTTCGGCCCAACGGTACCCCCGCTCATGTCATTCATCGCCAGCGCAGTCACCTTCTGCCTAGCCGCCGACGTAAAAAATCCCTCGGCGTCCTTCCTCAGGTTCGGCCCTCGAGGGCTGGGTTGGTGCCCTGTGCCATCGAACATGCATCCGGGATGGACACCTCTGCCCCTGGGGAAGGGGTCGGGCCCTTTTTGGGATCGCGGACTGGAACAATCACGTCGTCGGACGCCTGGGAGGGTAGTTTCTGCCCTCCAGTGGCCTGGGAGAGACCCACAGGAACCCTGCGGTACGTCGGAGAGCGTGGAGGTCGGCGGTTGACGTGTCCCCTGTAGGCCTTCTGGCAAGACCTCCCGTCGCACGATCCTGTTGCACTCACTCTTGCCGGCCGAGCGCGCGGTAGACTAGGGTCTGAAGGGTCCGGCGCAGCGGCTGAGACTCTTACTCTTGCTCTTACTCCTAATCATACTCTTTACTCCTACTCCTACTCCGCTTCCTACTCCTCCTTTTATCCTTATTCCTTATTAGAATATACTCCTACTCCCCCCTCAGGCCGGCAGATAGGGGCCACATCCGGGTGGTCCCATCCTAACCGGTAAAAAACAATACAAAATTAACAGTTTTCTTATTTTTTCCTCTCGACATGGACGTCCTGTCGTCCACGGCGATAATCCATTGCAAAAAATACCACAAAGAGCACACGCGCGCGTTCATGTCAGAATCCTACCGAACACCGTGTGTTTGCAAGCATTTCAACATAAAAACATCAAAAACCCAATGCTTTTTCACAAAAATTCTACAAATTTCCTGCCCGGGCTCTCTTGCTGAAATCATAGGAAAACCATAGGAATCTTAAGAATTCTGTCAAATCCAGCGATTTCACGTCATCGCGCGGTGCACTCGCGATGCTCTGTCATGCACCCAGGCCGCGAATCCTGTGCAAAAAATACCACGCGGGCGACATGCGCGCGCGTCGCCGCGAGCGCATGCTCAAATCCTTCTAGAGTCGTCGCCGTCATTGGCACCGTCGCATGGACGTCCTGTCGTCCACGTCGCAAAATGCATGGCAGGAATGGGACGCGGCGCACACCCCGCGCCCGCCCATCCAATCCGTCCCATTCTAATCTGCAAAAGACAATACACAGTTTTTGTTTTTCTTGTCAACATGGTCGTGCTGTCGTCACGTCGCAAAATGCGTGGCAGGAATGGGACGCGGCGCACACCCCGCGCGAAGGGGTGACATGTCGATCTCGCCTCGGCGCCGCGCACCAACGCCTGCGGTGTACCGGGCCATTCTCGACTCGTCTGGCAATGCGTGCGCGGCATTCAACACGCGCTCGCCAGTTCCCGTCGGCAACCGCCATCGCGGCCGCATCAGCTGTACCAAACCGGCTGGCCGGTGTGACTTCGGCCCCCAGGTGTGCCAGCTTTGCTTCTTATGTTGTGGGAGTGCGGGTGGGACTGGGCATGCCATGCTTGACTCGCTCGAGCTGGCTAGCTTGACTCCTACTCCTACTCCTGCTCCTAGACCCCCCCCCTTCTCCCTCTCATCTTCCTCATCCTCCTCCATCTCCTCCTCCTCCTCCTCCTCCTCCTCCTCCTCATCATCCTCATCCTCCTCCTTCTGCTCCTGCTCCTGCTCCTCTTCCTCCTCCTCCGCCTCCCCCTCCCCCTCCTCCTCCTCTTTCTCCTGCTCCTGCTCCTGCTTCTCCTACTCCTCCTACGCGTACTTCCATTCCTTCTCCTACTCCTACTCCTGTTCCTGCTCCTACTCATACTCCTACTCTTAACCCTCCTCCTTCCTTTCTACCCCTCCCTCGCCTCCTCTTCCTCATCCTCATCCTCCTCTTTCTCCTGCTCCTACTCTTACTCCTCCGCCTACTCCCTCTCCTACTCCTACTCCTGCTCCTCCCCCCCCCCCAACCTCGTCTCTCCTCTTCCCTCCCGCCTCCTCCTCCCTCTCCTTCTCCTCCGCCTTACTAACTACTACTACTACTACTACTACTACTACTACTACTACTACTACTACTACTACTACTACTACTACTACTACTACTACTATTACTATTATTA